TCAACAGAATGGAAAAATAATCATCCTTTCTCTCCCTTTCCGCCCCCAAGGAGTCGGATTTTCCCGGCACAGCCATTCATTGGTGGCAGCAGATGCACCAAAATGCTTGACACCAGCAAACCGAAGGCAAATAGAAAACATACATGGGGGAAACAGAGGGGGAAAAGACAAACCCACAACATAAAAAACCCCAAGAGTGCATGTAATGCAGAGAGGTGAAGCTGCAAACACAGGGTAGAGCTACGGAGCTGCTTAGGGAGGAATGAAGGGGAACCAGGTCTCAGAGCCTTCCTTCCTGCAAAATGCACCAGTTACTCACAGCCATTTCTAGTCACAACTGGAAGAGGATGGGCAAGCCACAGCTTTTTCAGGAAATGTATCACTTTTCTCAAGAATTGTCTGCGAACAGACTGTGACTTTTATTAATTTGCCTCCAGCTGGCAAGGGTACACCAAATATTTTCTGTGAATGAATCCTGGCCAATGGATTGCTCACAGACTCACAGGCTGCTCTAATTGCTTCAATATTCCTGCTCTGACCTTCAAGATGAGGAAGCTCTGATCAAGTCCCAGTTACAAGTTTCATTCCTAAAGTAATGAGAAATTTACCTTTTAGACAGAAGATAGTCATAGAAATCTTCCTCTCGTTTAAAACAAAGCAAAGCAAATCAGAAACAGATCTCTGGCACTGCCAGAAAGGCAGGGAGGAAATAGAGAAAATATTGATTAATGAGATTTATTTGTGCTGCGGATGGTGATCAAAGGGGAGTGAATGCAATGTGCAACACTCACCATTGCTTTTAAAACCAAAATTCCTTTGATGTGCAGCTCAGTATCCGGCCATTATGGGAATTAAAAGAAAAAGCCATGAGAACATTATTAATGAAGGTTTAAACCGAACAGCTTCAGGCACCAGGCTCATACTCACCAAGGTTTTTAAGTGACCAGCTGGTGAATAATTATGATAAAGAATGTTTTACAACTACTTGGTTTAGTCAACAAAGCCTCTTGATGCATACAGTAGCACCACTTCCATACAGAGCAGCCTGCATTTTTGGAGTGGACAAGCCTTTAAGTAGAGAGAAAAGGAGATCCAGAACAAAGAAAAGGATCCCTAAGAGAGAAAAGGAGCTCCAGAGCAAAGGGTCCTTACCAGTGAGTGGCTGTGGGGACTGTTCCCAGCAGCCCCAGAGAAATTCCATCACACTCAGCAAGGAAGCAGAAGTGTCCCAACACTGTGGGTGTGGGAAAGATTCACAGCTTTGCACCCTACTCCTCAAATTCCTCCTTGCACATCTCTGCTGGCCTCTCCTCTCAAGCTTTGTGTGAAGCTCTGACTGGAGGCTGGGCTCCCTTTTAAGGGTTTCTTAGCCCACCAAACACAGCTCCAGCCCTCACTGGTGTCCTCACCTAACCTGTCCCACTGCAGGCACTGCTGACAAGATGGATTTTTGAAGAATATCAAAGGTTAAGAGGAAATTTTAGAACTTCCGTATAAAAACATCTTTGTATTTCTAATGACTTATGCAAGAGGAGCATCACATGTTAAGGGAATATTATGATAAGATAAAAGTTTAATTTTAAGTTGATGGGCATTTTCCCACCTTTAAAATTAGTGGATATCACCTTAAGTCTTGCCTCCTTGACTGTTAATTAGAGATAATCCTTTGCCTACAGAAATAGAAGCTCCTTTTATGCTACATCTCTTGCAAAACATCAAACTTCATCTTACAAAGAGAGACATGTTTTGAAGAGGACCCATCCTATTTGTCTAGCAATATCACACCTTTGCCACATATAATAGCTTTAATCACAAAAAATAGGATGAAAAGAGTAAATAGTAGTAGTACATTTGTAAACCAAACCCACTTTTAAGTTTGTCTTTGGTTTTTTGGGTTTTTTTTTACAACCTCACAGCTCATTTGAGAGATTGATTTAGTCAATATTGTCACAATGGCAGTGCATTATGCTAGGACTGATGTTCATTGCAGCACTATGATTATAAATGGAAGGGGACAAGTAATGAACTAAATACAATTCATTACAACTCATTTTACTGCATAGTAAAATGCAGAGAGAGCATCCAAAAGCTACAAAATCAGTTCTTGGACTAAAAACAATAAAACCCCTATTAAGCTACCAGTTTAATCCAAAGTAATATTTGGACTACATCAAGCAGGGTGGCACAAACTGGTTTTTTGTTCAGCATTTGAATCAAAAATGCATTTTGAAAAATGCAGCCGTGATGAAACTGTAGAAAGCACTTGGAGTATCTTTAGAGATCGGATGGGGGAGAGTTGGTGGGGAGAGAAATCTGTTTTGTGTCAAATGAAACATTCCATACAGCTGAATAAGAAGCTTCTTCTTTGAGGACCAAGAAAATCAAAGCAAATTAAGAGTTGGATTTGAAGCTCTCATGGGTACTTTGCTGTCACACAGGAACAGAGGTTCTAGAGGATATTGGAGCCTGAGGTTTGTGTCTGTTTTGCTAATCTGGTGTGAATGCTCTCTTCTCACTTTCTTATCTAAGCATAGATTACTACTTAATGCTACTAAAACATGGACCTTTGCTTTTTCCAAGAATACAATTTTGTTTTGCCTAATTAATTAAACATTTAGTGTGGAAAGACAATATATCATAAATGGAATACACTTGGCTTCCTCTTGCAGGGAAGCTCTGCCATAGACTCACTGAGTGAGTACATAAAGAGGGATTTTAACATATTAAAGAGGGATGTCTCTAGCAGGATGTCCCACCACAAAATTCAGACATCCCATGAGTTAAAGCTGTACCTGTGTCCTCCCTACACTGTGTGCTTTTGTCTCTAGGTCAGTGGTAAAACTGTTGCCACCCTAGGTTTCTTTCCCTGCCAAGATTAGGAGTTAAAGCTGTACCTGAGGGGAGTCCTCCCTACACTGTGTGCTTCTGTCTCCAGGTCAGTGGTAAAACTGTTGCCACCCTAGGTTTCTTTCCCTGCCAAGATTAATTTCAAAGAGATAGAAAAGGGTGCATCATTTTCCTTCATAATTTAATTATTTCTTGTCTTTCCCTCAGAAAAGGGATCCTGACGTCAATAATCCTATTGCAAGCTCATTAGTTACTTCAGAGAAGTCAGTGCTAATTTTCCAGGGAGCCATCAGAGGCAGATCAGTGACACACAGAGGGAGTGTTTTCTCCTCACAGAGCGCTGGTTCATGCATCAGCAGCATATCCTGGATCCCCACAGCAACCAAGAGACTTTATTTCCCTTGGAAAATCCTGACCATGACCACCCTGCAGCCTGCCCCTCACACAGGGTTGAGGAACAAGACCTTGCTCCTTTACCTGTGGCTTTTACACACACGAGATCCCCCGGCAGCCTGGGCAACCAGAAAAGGCCCTAGATCATGTCACAGTTGGAAAGAGCCTGGGGAGGCAGCAGGAAATTACACACACATTAGCTGAAGCTGATTTTATAACAAAACAAGCCATTTGAACAGCTTGATTGATGATGGCCAAGCAGGCTGCAGGAAAAGGAGCTCACGTCTCGCTTGCTGGCCGGAGTTCTCACGGGGGCCATGGGCCAGGGTACACACACAGGGGAGAGCATTTCCTGAGAGACTCACAAAACATTGCCCAAGCTCCACTGGAGATTCATGCCTCAGATGTAGCAAACAGCTCGAGCAGTGGGGACAAGAGAAAGGAGATATTTCTCCATCAGCTCAAAGCACAGGAAAGGGAGTCACGCTAAGGGAGATAATCACTGGCATCAAAAAAAAGGCAGAGTAGCTGCTTGCAGTGGGGCTGCCATTTCATTAGTCTCACTGGAATGCCCTTCAAAGCAGCTGATGGCTGTTAGTGCCAGACAGAGCTGTGGAAAAGGTCAATGTGTCAGCCCTTGATTATTTTAGTTCAGGAACACTCTATTATTCGTAAAGTATCTGTGGCATATTCTTTCCTCTCACTCTCCCTCATGGACAGAAACAAATGGGAAAACCACTTCAGAGCAAGGCAGGGGTGGTAGTACAGAAAAGGCAAAAGCACAGCCTGCAAAGGGGATAGACTGGGGAGGAAAAACACACAGGCAAGAGAGGCACCAGTCTAACTGGCCTGCTTAAAATTATCAGAGGATGAGTGGTAGATTGGAATAGCTGAAGAAAGTGGGACAAACATACTTTCATATGATGGGTTAACTCCTGCTGCTCCTCACACACGTGTTTGCCACAAAACATTTCTTTCTGCCCTCCCTGGTTTTGTCCTCTGCTCCTGGTCTGAGTCTCAGGGGGTGGTGGAGACTTCCTAATCCTGGGGAATTCCCAAACGTGGTATGGAGAGGTGGAAACCTGCCTGCTATGAGCCCTCTTCAGCAGCAAATTGGCTGCTCCCATGGAGCAGGACAGATGAGCACTGGTGTGTGATCCCCAGAATCTGCTGCCACCCAGCTGGAGTGAGAACAAGGCTCAGAACCAGCTTTACACTGGTACCTCCTTGGTCCCTGCCATACAGCACTGCATATCCAGTTATGACTGTAAAAACACATTTTTAAAACACTGAATGAGCACACTCTTCCTCCAGTTCAGTTCTTTGCTGATGCTGTATGCTCCCTCCATTTCACATTGAAATCACCAATAATGGATTTTGGCTTGCTGGTGGGAACCTGACTCAGCAGGCACAGACCAATTTTTCTTCCCTCCTTCTTAGTTAATTTTATTTCAGGCCTCACTGAGTGGGATTGCTCCTTTTATTGCACAGAACCTCAGCCCAGTCTCCACTTCACTAGCCACCCTTGTCTTTCTAGTCTCAACCAATTCCCTGCCTATTAGGATATTTTTCAGCTTTTTGCTCCATTTCACCCAAACAAGCACCTGAATAATTTGACAATTTCATCGCTGGCATTCACAGAGGTCAAACTTATTCACCTATTACAAGCTGTTGTAACCTGAGAAACAGGATGACTTGACAGAACCCAACACAACCACTTCTCTTTAATACTTGCATTTTTTAATGACATCCAGACTCACCACTGCTTCATCAACAGCTTCCTTGGGCTTGGAATCAGCTCCTCCTGGAATGAAAGAAGTAACAACACGATCATTACTACTAATACCAAAAGAAGAAAATAAACTGCAGTTCCTTTGAAGCAGTGTGAAGTTTCGGGTTGCTTGTGTATTTGTACAATATAATTAGTAGCCTGTACGTCCCAAATAATGTGTTACTGTCGGGAAAAAAGACAAAAGTTACAAAAGAGCTGCACCACAGAAACAAATAAAGCAAAGGTTCACATTACTCCAGTGATCACTGCATGTTAAACAGATTTTTTCAGTTTACCAGACACATTTGGTCTGTTTTATAAATAAATCACTGAAACAATAAACAAGTGGCTTTTCTATTCCTAATAAGCTTTAAAAACCCACCCTTTCTTTCTGAAACAAAGTGATCTCTAAATGATGCTAATGGCATCCTTTTATTGATCTCCTGTGTTCACTTACCCTGCCATTTTTTTCTTCACATTTCTTATTGCAGAGAAATAATTGCCATCTTACCCAGCATGAGAATTGCTATTTTGTTTAAGTTCCTTTAAACAACAGCATCCCTTTCATAACTTCTCAATTTTCTAAAACTATTTGTCTTAACCCAGTGCCAGGCACCCTTGAAAAGTTCATTTTGCCACAAGATGTGCAAAAGAAGTTTAGGAAACATCCACAGGCATGTAGGGCTTCATTTAAAATCATCTATCAAATAGTCTCAAATATTTACTACCTGAACTGTTTAAATGTCACTGTCACTAAGCATTTTTCAACTTTTTAATTTCAAAGTTGCCTTTCATTATGAATTTTTCTTACTCTAGTATTTTCTATGGTGCTGATTTTTTTTTTCCATTTTGGATGTATAGCTTTATATTTGTACAACTTGCCAAATTATTAAATTAATTGCCAGTAATAACAATAACAAATGGCTGGCCTAAACATGAAGTGAGGACAGGAACTATTTATTTACCAATTACAAGACTGCATTTCCTGGCTGAAAAGACCAGTGCAGCAGACATTCTGCAAGGGAAGATAATTTTCACTGCCAAACCAGGGAAAAAATTATGTTGAAAAATATTTTTATTTTTCAAATAATATAAAATTAAAGAAGTTTCAAGCAGATAGAAAGTATTCTGTTTCAGAACATTTTGAGTGTGAACATTGAGTTCTTTCTCACTTCATTCAAATCCCTTTTTTTCATTCCTACCACAGAGAAAAACAGACCAAAATCTCAGATTCAGATGATTGCTAACTTATGCCAGAAATCTGATCCAAGCTTTGCAAAAGATCCCTCCATCATTCAGGGAGAATCCCAATCTTAAATTCTGACACCCTCAGTTTAGTGATATTTGCCACGAGCTGGGACAGTCTCTGTAGGGATGTGAATCTTGTTTTTTTCTGGCACCTCCATCACTTTTCTGTGCTGGGTTTGGCCCAAAGAAAGAATGTCAGCCAAAAAGCTGTGTGGGCATACGAGGTGGAGGTGGGAAAAGAGAAAATTCATCCCATGGGCAGCCCACAGGTGCTATTAAAAATACCCATCTTGGCATAAAACCTCCAGGGAAGGTGACCACTCAAGCTGTATTCACCAACTTCCACTGCTCCAGGAAAACAGCTGAATGAGCAAATTAGCCCAACATGAACACACTGAGGTGAGTTTAATTCTGTAAGTTTTGTAGTCTAATAGAGAAGACAAAACAATTTACATCTGTGTTTTCATTTGGGACAAGGCCAGTTTTATAAAGCAGAATTGAAGGCACATGGAATTCCCAGCTTTCTTTTCCCTTTCTCTCCACTCCCTCCCCCAATCATAAGAGTTTTCAGGCTCTCCTTTTGTTCTACTGCAATAAAACCCCCAAACAATTGCCAGGTCAAATGTGTTCCTTCTTTTTTTCATTAGTGGAGCAGCTGGTGCTTGCCTCTTAAAATTCCTTTACTGTCAGCTGACAAGTGCTGTCCCATTTGAAGAGTTTCTAATGTGACTTTCAGCTCCAGCCCTTTGCTCTCAATCTCACTTTAAAGGCTTGATGGGTCCACAAAAAAATGTTCTCAGACAATGTTCAGATCTGGAAACAAACATCATTAAACTCCCTCTCCTGATGGGTGAAACGAAAATATGAATTTGGGAAAGGAAAAAAACCCAACAGACAAAACCAACAAAAGAGATGCCTGCTTTTTCTCACAGAAATTCAGATGCTCATCTCTCTTTTCCAGTATAAACTCATTGTTGCTTAAAAGACCTGCAAGCAAACAAGCCCACAACATCTGTATATTTACGTGGTATTTTTCAGATGCAGCAAAAGGCTCAAATTCATGCCTACTACTCAGCAGGTAAATAACAATACCTGACAACCTTTTTATACCTCTTGGAAGACAAAACCATTGTCATCTCCTGGCCAAAAGTGACACTAGTTTAGATATTTTCCAAACAGTTTGTAGTTTGCTATAAGGACCGATTGTTCAACATAGGCCACGCTTCTTAACAGGATGTCTAAAAGGAACACAGAATAAAGGCAAAAAAAGCAACAAAACCATTATAAAACTACTTAAAAAGTTATAAATCTATTAAATTGAGACAAAAAGCCTACAAGTAACTCATGCCAGTTATTAGAGATATGGCTGAAGTAGATCATCCAAAAGAGTAAAGGACATACCGTTGACTCTAATATTATCTGTAAAGTTAGAAATGAGCCTCTGGTAAGATTACAGAGGAAATTTGAGCTTACCAGGTGCCAAGAAAGTGAGAAGCACTTTTCCTCAGTGCTCTCCTGGGAGGTGAAGCACTGTCACAACTCACACTGCAGTGAAGAGGGTCACAATGCACAGAGCATCACCATACAATGTCAGAAAGCTTCAATCCACACACAGGAACACCATTCCACTCCAGAGGGCTGCAGCATGGGCCCTCCTCATCCCCCAGACTTTAACAATATCAATAATTATATAGCTGTATAATTCCAAGTTATAATGCTTTTACAATTGTTGATAAAATAACAGCGAGATCAGTATAGAATGGAAAAAAGGCAAGTACAACCCTTTGTCTGCATAAAATGTAAATACATTTACAAGACTAGATCTAATGTGGATAATATGCAAAGACAACCATCCAGTGATAAAAACCAGGAGAAATTCCAAGACAGAGCATTGGTTAAGCTGCCAACAAAGCACAGCAAAATGGGAAACACCAGGAAAAGTTGAGCTCAAGTCACCAGGTTGGTTGAGGGATCTGTCATTTCCACAGCTGGGCTCCCTCATGCCATTTCCATTTACCAAACAATGGGGATTATTCACACACAGGAGATGGAGCCACTCCATCCAGGCACTGTGCTCTGAAGTTGGGAGTGCTTGGGTCTTTCAAATATTCTATTTTACAGTGGAATTCAATACAGGCACCCGATGTGGAGCACAGCTTGGTTTGTCCAACCTATTTCAGCTCAATATTGTTTCTGTCCTTATCTTCTTCTGATGCTGTACAGGCAAAGTGGGGGGCTTGTCCACTGCCCACTAAGAGGTTGTTGAAGATCCTTTCAAGATAAAGAAATTCAGGCATTTGTATTCCACAGTATCACCTTGTTGATATTTTTGCAAGAGGAAGACAAGAAGCTCTGCCCTTGGAATAGCTGGAGGTGTGCTCCATCTCCCAGCTTTTCCTTTGCACATTGGCAGCTCTGTCCAGGTCCCATAGTCTTTCCCTAACTTCTTTCCAAACACTAAAAGCAGTACTTGCATCAGTCTTAAAATCTTATGACTTTGCCCATGGTAAAACACTACAAGGGGCACAGTCAGTTGTCTTAACGCCTCCTCTTTTCCACAAAGCTTTCCATGTGGATAAAACACTGTTCTTCACTTGTTATTTCCCATTAAGTCCTCAGTGGCTCACCTGTACCCCAGGTGTCAAAATCAGTCTGGTCAGGACCAGGAAGCATCTCCCCACTGCTCTCAGTGCTGTGCTGGGCTCTGTCTGTGCCTCACCCTGCAGCCCAATCCCAAATCACTTCAGGGCTCTGGCTGTACCTTGCCCTACAGCCCAATCCCAAATCCCTACAGCCCAAATCACACTGAGATCACCAGAGCACAGCAACCAGGATGGAGACCAAAGGAAGCACTGAAACATCCTGACTCTTGCTCATTGGATTTCTGTCTGCAGCATACTTTAGACAGCTCAAAACCTAATTTAGGACTTTCCTCAGCTCTACCCTGTTTCAGGAGTCAGCCTGTAGGGGTACACCCCTGTCTTGCCTCCCTAAGAACATGAATTTTGGCTCTTCCACAGGTTCTCTGCAGAGCGTCTTTGTCCTGTCCAGGAGCAGACTTTTGGTAGCCACTTTATATTACTTCAGTCTTTTCACACAATCTAAAGGGACAGAACATGTCTCAGTTGGTCTTTAAAAGCTGCTTCAGAGTATATTCAGATGGGATAAAAAGTCAGAGGATCCAAAATCATTATTGACCATGGGTTAACCCCAAACCCACTGAGACACGTGGAACAGCAGAATTCACTGCCTTTGGTGAGCTTTGGTTCAGGTTCCACACACCCCTTTAATGATATTTTCTATTTCAAAGTGTTACAGCTATTTCAGCAGATGCCCAGCATCTGTGGACTTGATGGGGTGCTAATCCTATTACAAGGTGATGATTGGAAGCCTATAGCTGATACTTCCAGATGGTTTCAGGATTCTGAGACCACATATGCTCCAAGAGAGGAGAAGGAATGTTTGGAGAGCAGTCTGGGGGTGAGAGTTTCAGAAGGTATTTGCAGAGTTTTGAGAGTTTCCGGCTAGCTGGGGACCACAAACCCTACATACATTAAACAGCAGATATTCACTGTGCTCTTGGAAGACTTTACCCAGGCCTGTTAATATTCCCACTGGAATGTGTCGGAGATCCCAACAGCTCTTGGCATGGTACACTTGGCAATCAGCCACTCAGACTCCTTTGCTTCTAGGAAAGTGTGGAGACCTTGTATTCATTTTCCCAGCCTTTCATCAGAGTGGAAGGTTCAGGTGACTTCATTCGTTCCCCTCAGGCACTGGGGGTGTGGGGATCCATGGGGGCCACAGCAAGGATGTTGCTAATTTCCTGGTCCTGGTTAACTAGAATATGCTAATCATAACCCACAAGGACTTCCAAAAATTGCACAACTTCATAGCTCAAAGTCCTCACGAAATATTCCTAATAAAAGAAAGGAACAACCGTTAATCACTGTTCCTGCAAGTCATTGTGAAATTTCACAAGATTTGATTACTGTCAAGGCTCCGGCTGTTGGAGTTTGGGCAAGAATCTCAGCTTCAGGCTGGACTCAGTGCCTGCCTCCAGGAGCAAGGGAAAGGTGTGAACTAGAGGATCAGGAAACATTCCATAGAGGATCAGGAAACATTCCAGTGTTAGCAAAACAGAATGCAAACATTTACAAACAGTGGCTCTTTGCAGTGTAGATCACAGTAAGAAGTTTGTTTGCTCACACGTGCTCGGTCTTTTGCAATACTCAAACACACAAGCCAGCAAAGGCACAGTAAAACAAACACAATATTTGAGCAAGTTATCAGTAGTGTTACTCTGTATCTATCACTCTTACACCTCTTTCAACTTACCTGTATCAGCAATGTTTCATAATTGGATGGTCAGTCAAATACATCCTTATCTGGCAGGAAAAATACCCACACTGGGAACAGGGGAAAAGAACCATTTTCAATCAATGGAACTCCCACAACAACTCAGTAGGGTTCAGTTGAAGCTTGCTAGGAGCAGATGTAAAGGCTTTGAAATTGGACGTGTGAAAGTAAGGAAATGCTCAAATAAATAGAATCATTTTCCACCACAGGTGTCCTTTACTGAAAGGGAAATGTTTCTGCTCTCCTTTCATTGAAGTATCACATATCAGCTCTGGTGGCTGAACCAACACCATTTTTCTAAGGATATCTCTGAAATATTTCTCCATTCCACTTTTTTTTTTTTGTAACCAAGACAGAACATGTATATTCTTGAATAAACAACAAAGCCTGGAAAAGTAGTTTAAAATAGCCTTTGTGTCCTGTGTTGCTCTTAAGAAATGTTGCCATATATATCAATTGGGAGAGATATCACAAGTACCTCCCTCACTAGTGAGGGTGTTTGTTACAGAAGAAACACAGGTACAAAATTACGGTCAACAAAACGACACCAGAAACCACCTCTGATAATATTATCCTAGGCATGTTGTATGGGAGCTGCTATTTTTAAAGAGAAGTGAGTAGTGGATTCCTGGTAGGTACTATTGACCTTTGAGTCTTAGTAAACAGTCTTAGACTTTTTTCCCTGCTCAGAGTCCAGTGACATGTTTTTTCTTTTGTTCTTTCATGTTTTGTTCATGGGTTACCACACTGATGCTTGTTCCTTCAGACAGGAAGTTTTATAAGAATAGGTCTCAGCCTTGAGACTAAATACACTCATTCACACCCCTGAATATATTTAATTTTGAGAAAAACAATGGAATTCTAAAGGTATCTGTGCCACTAATCCTGTTGCAGAATCAGTCCCACTGGGGATAGGCTGAAAGGAACAGCAAACTTTATCTTGCTGCATTTTTCCAGGCATCCCACTTTTTATAAGTCTTAAAATGTTGTGGTCTAGAAACCAGCTCTCCATTACTGGTGCATTGTAAAACATTTTGAGTTCTACTTTTGCCAATAGGAGCCTTTTCAAGCTGCCATTACTGCTCACTGCTCACCAGTTGTTCCAAGAGTGCTCAGGGCACGGATTTTTCTGTTGCCATTGTGTTTTTTCCTCTTCTGTCATGCCAAGTCTCAAAACACCCTCCAGATTCATCAATATTTTCAGTATCAAAGTACCTGGTAAAAACAGTTTCTGATTTAGTTGACAGAGAAATTAATGGAAGGTTTCCTGGCAGTTTCAGCAGGAGAGAGATCAGACTTCTGTGATGCATGAAAAACTGTCAGCCTTTCAGGTAATGTGTATAATCCGATTCTAATCAGATTTGTAGAGCATAAAGATGGGCAAAATGTTTTTTCACAAAACTTGACTACTGATTTGGACATTAAGAGGACTGACTGTACACCATTCTTCCAATAATGCTGTAAAGGAAATGAAGTTTTATCCTTGATTTCCATCTCACCCCATCTATTGAGGCTGAAATCTCCTTAGAAGTACATGGTTAAGAGGTACAAGAGACTGAAAGGGGATTTGCACTCAGCTTTTGGATTGCTGCTCCTCTGAGCAGTTTTAAAAGCCTCTCAGGACAGGACTGGAAGTGCCAGTGATGTTATCCACAGCAAAAATGTTAAAACTAATGAAAAAAGCCTGCTGAAGGCAAGTCTAACAGGAAAACAGATGGGCAAACCAATGAAACCTCATACTTCTCTCCCCAGAGTGGTCTGAATCTGAATATATAGATTTTAGTTGCAAACTGTCATCTGGTCCTTCCTGGAGATGTACACTCGTAGTGTGAGGGACTGAAAGGGTGTTGGTACTCACCTGCAACACAGCAAAGCAGGTTAAAACCTTGATTTTATCAGTGTGTGTGGGGGGAAAACTGGGGCAAAATATGTCATGATAGCCAGCACACACTGAGAGAGGATTACGGGCAAAGCAACAACTTTCACTGCAGGAAAACTCTGTCTGCCTGCCTCAGGCAACATTGTCCTGGTTTGGAAGGAATGACTTTGAGATTCATGGCCAGGGCAAATACACAAGGGAAAAATTTGCTCTGTTTTTAAGACATGACTATGTAGCTGCAAGTTTATAAAGACTATATATAGTATGTGGACAGATGGATGGATGCATTTATTGTGGTAAGTCATACCACTGGGCTATTCTCTCTGGAGCAAAGTAAAGCCTTTCAAACTTCTAACTATTATAAAAGCAAAGCTACACAGTGATCCATTTGCATTCC